GCTCTCTGGTTTCATTTAAAAGAGTCGATCATCAGATATTGTCCAAGATTAACCTTCAGGGTGGATATGGGGCTGCTAGCAAGCGCCCACGTCATCATTTACCCAGAATGCTTTGCGTGTAAAAAAATGGCTCCATCCATGTTTAAATATATTTTTAAAAATTTACAAAACTAAACATTCTACAGTATTTTTACGGTCTTTATTTTACAGTTAAAATATATGTTCATCAAATAAAGTCTAATGTTACAACTAATCGGGGATCCCTTTAAAGTATATGAGTTTAAGTTTTAATTTAATTTAATTTAATTTAAAAAAAATTTTTTGGTGGGGGTGTTCGGGTGCCTCAGTGAGCTAACTTGCACCAAGATTTGGTAATTATTTTTAAGCCAGATACTCTTCCTTACTGAACCGTTGAACACCAATCTACCGCAGCCCACATGTGTGGAGCATCAGCTGGCAGTAGATGCTGGGCTGCTAAGATACGTAGTTGTTTTTGTTGTGATTCTAATCAGACCCAAGGCCTCAAACTCAGCTCTTGGCTGGAAGATACAGACTGTGAGCAGACTTAAATGGAATCTTTTAATAAAGATTTTTTTTGCCTTATTTTGACTTCCACTTATTAATCACACTTTTCTTACGATATAAAAATGTTAATTTTTAAAATACTTGGAAGCACTAGGCTACCTGTTTCAGCTGCATATACCTCTGTCATCGTCATCTTCATGCTAAACTACGTCTGTTCTGTTCTCCTGGCTTGTGACCTGATTTGTGTAATGTGCAGATGTAATGGGTTGCGTACAAACCAATAGGGTGTCAGAAGGGTATTGAATGTATTTGACTATTTTTTTACAACACAAAAATATGTACAACATGTTGCCTTCAGGCGAAGGCCGTCCTTGAAAAAGAGATCTGTGATCTCAGTGGGATTTGCCTGGTTAAACAATGGTAAATGTATAAATTTATACAGTACTTTTCATCCAACAACAGTTAAATTCACTCTGTCGAGAGGCGCCATGTAACTGGATAGGTTTTTTTTATTTTTTTGAACAATGACAAAGCCATAATGAAACAGAAATGAAATAATTTACTTTACTTTAAAATGTAAGAAGTAGAAAGTCCAAATAATTTCTTGAAAATGAAAGGAGTAGAAGTAAAAAGTAATCTGAAATGTAATCACACCATACGTCCATTTTCTGCCGCTTATCAGGGGTCAGGGCTCGGGGGCAGCAGCCTGAGCAGAGAGACCCAGACTTCCCTCTCTCCAGCCACTTGGACCAGCTCATCTGGGGGAATCCCAAGGTGTTCCCAGACCAGCTGAGAAACATAGTTCCTCCAGAGCATCCTGGGTCTTCCTCTGAGTCTCCTCCCAGTGGGACGTGTCCGGAACACCTCACCAGGGAGGCGTCCAGGAGGCATCCTAACCAGATGATCCACCTCAACTGGCTCCTCTCAACGTGAAGGAGCAGCGGCTCTACTCTGAGTCCCTCCTGGATGACTGAGTTTCTCACCCTATCTCTAAGGGAGAGCCCAGACACCCTGCAGAGGAAACTCATTTCAGCTGCTTGTATCTGCGATCTCATTCTTTCGGTCACTACCCAAAGCTTGTGACCATAGATGAGGGTAGGAACGTAGACCAACCGGGAAACCAGACTGGTACAGCGCCCACATCACTGCAGACACAGCACCAATCTTATTCATGAATGAGGAAAGAAAGGGGTGGGAGATCGATAATCACTCCAGTAAAGTATAAATTTCTACTCAACTAAGGACACCTCTGGTTCCACAACAAACAGGGATGGAAAATGTCCAAACACTCTACAATACAGACTGAAGTCAGTGAGCTTTCTTATTGGTGCTGGTTCTGTTTGTGGCTAATGTGAGGTCATCGGGTGAAAAGATCTTGGGTTTTTTAGCTTTGCAGACCTGAACTGCTTTAGATAAAATCACCAATTAAATTCTCACTAATTAGCACATACTGTACATGCAAAACCCTTCTGAGACATTAAGTCTCAGGAAGGACAGGAGGGAAAGACATCTGCATGTCAGAAATAAAGCATTTCAGTCAGTTTAAAGCTTGGAACCTGCACTTTTCAGTTATTACTGAGGAAGAAGTTTTACCTCTCTTGGATGAGAAGCCAAAAGAGAAAAGAAATGCAGTGCTGTTTTATGTTATGACCTGTCCCAGGAAATTGAGAACAAACATTGTGCTTCTCCTGTTTCAGTTTGTATCTATATCAACAAGCAGGCCAACACTGGTACCAACCTGGATAGGAAAAAGATCCAGCAACTCCCTGATCACTTCGGACCCGACAGACCCTCCGTAGTGCTCCAACAGGCTGTCCAAGGCTGCATTGACAGCGCTTTCCAGCAGAAAACCGTCTTCACCCTTCTTACACAGGGCTACGGAGGAGAAAAAATATCAGGTGTTGTACCAAGATCTCACTCAGGTGTTGTTCTTCGTTTCCTTTAGAACTTTAACTTACATTGAGTCTTTGGGATTGGGAAAATTCAATTAGTAAACCTTTACTGACCTGATTTGTGAGAAACAAACTGTAATCTAATCTGGTTTTGTTCTTTCAGCCACATTTGATGGGAAGCAGCACCTTTTGAGCCTTCCTGTGGTGAATAGTATTGACTACGTGCTTCGTTTTCTCAAGAAGCTCTGCCGCAGTCTGCACTGTGAGAACCTCTTCAGTGATCAGCCCATTAGCCAGCACAGCGGTGGATCCTATCCCTCAGATGGTCTCAGTGTTTCCTCTCACCCACAACAGAACCTGCACTCACAGAAACAGATAAACTGAATTACACTGATCGTTTTGTCTCCTTCTTGTCTTTAGCAGAAACATCCATGACTGAAAACTACGATGTCAACCAGTCAGATGGCAAACGCTATTCTGTGGACCATGGCGATTCTGCTTTCAGCTCCATAAGCTCCTCCTACACACCAAAGTCCTCCTATGGGTTCCGGTCTTCACAGAAGTTCTCCAATGGCTCTGCCTCCATGAGCCTGTGCAGACAGTCATCCACCAGCCCAAACTCATTTCCAGATGGGAACAGGACAGGTGAGGAGGAATCTGAAACAAATCCATCATCACTATTAAACACCTTAAACTCTTTGTAGGAATGGATCTCACACATCATCAACACCCACCACTACTACCCATCATTAACTACAACACCCACTACTATCCATCATTAACCAAACCCCCACCACTATTACGTATCATCACCCACCACTACTACCAATCATTACCAATAACCCCCACCACTCCTACCCATCATTAACCATAACCCCCACCACTACTACACATCATTAACCATAACCCCCACCACTGCTAGACACCATGACCCACAACCCCTCTACCACTACTACCCATCATTAACTACACCACCCACTACTACTACCAATCATTACCCATAACCCCTCTTCATTACTACCCATCATTAACTACATCCACCAACCATTACTATCCATTTCCACCCACCACTACCACCCACCACTATTGCCCATCATGACCCACAACCCCTATACCACTACTACCCATCATTAACTACAACACCCACCACTATTACCCATCATTAACTACAACACCCACCACTACTATCCATCAATAACCATAACCCCAACTCCTACTACCCATCACCCCCCACCAACACCCACCAATGCTACCCATCATTAACTACAACACCCACCACT